AAAAAAAAAAAAAAAAAAGCTAAAGGGCTTATCTCTCTTCTAACTAAATCTCATCTCATTCTAGCTATGATCATAAATTCTTCTGAGAATTCATTTAGCATAATAGCTTGATCTATTTTAGTATTTGATATGTACATTAATATGCAAAGATATTCAGTATTTTATTATGTTACATACAGCTAAACATTTATTATAAGTGATGGTTTACTATATATTTCTTTAAATTCCTTAGTTTCTCTTCTTGAACATCAAAAAGACTATATTACTGAGTTTGTTATATGTTTTTTTCTCCCGACAGTACAGTTTTTCTTTTTACTGGACTTGGGTACATATTAATGGCATGGTGTATTCATCAATAAGACCCTGAATTCTAATTTTGATTGAGGAATAAAGTAGAGAAATTGTGTTTGACCCCTTATAGAAGCTAGAATATTTAACCGCTCCCACAGAATCTAAAATCTCCCTTCCATGATATATTAATTAACATCTGATCCTATAGTGAAGAGTCGTCTCTCAGATTGATGTAATTATGATACAATATTTTTTGGAAAGAATCCCTCAGTATAGCATAATTCTTATAATAAACATCCAAGGCTTCAAAGTAAAACATTTCTTATACTTTTCTATAATACATAGCATCTCATTCTATTTTTTGGTTTTGCTTTATGTTATTCTGATCTTGTGTGTACAATTTTATTTTCCTTATAAAAAGATGGCCATAATAAAGCAAAAAGTAGGTACAAGGATGCCTTTGTAGCTTCTTCTCTCCTACCTGTCACTGGCAGCTTCTAACAGCAAGGAGTGAAAACTCAAAGTCAAATCATTTAACTTCGAGTAAACAGAAGGAATTTATAAAGGATAATTTAGATTGTTTTTTTTAATCACATGAGCAAAAGGCACAGTTGTACTATGACAACATGTATGAAAATGTAAATATGTAATTATAAGTAGGTTTAAATTATGTGCATGTATTCAGGGCTAAAGTATCATACAATCCTATTTTTACATCTCTACACGTAGATTTGGAAAAGCTTGACAAAATGTGAAACTATAAAATTTAGTGCTAACTGGCACCCTTTTTTTGGGTGAGTGCCAAAGCAACTTTCAAAATATTTCAAAACAGCTGCCAGCATGTAAAGATTTTAACTGGAGTAGAGTCATGAAATATGAATGACTAATGAGAGAATAAACTCATTTTTGCTTAAGGTCCTTAAAGAACATTGAGACCCAATTATGGATTTGCCTCTCATACATGCAGTCCAACCTTCTTGGACCATGTATGTAAGGACAAAATACAGAAGTAGAACTCTTGTATGCATTATAAAGTAACCTAATATCCAAGTATGCATTATAAAGTAACCTATTACACCTCTCTCTCTCTCTCTCTCTCTCTCTCTCTCTCTCACACACACACACATTCTTTAGGTTGTGTTTTAGAAAGAAAGTTCCTGGAAGGCAGGGGCCATATTAATTCTCTTAAGCATGAATAGTTGGAAAGTTGGAACTTTGAAGTTGAATGTGCTCATTAAACCCTATTTTAATAGTATAAAGCATAATTGAAGCAGCTTCAGCTTATCTCGTTTTAAAAGTCTAACAAAAGATCTCATTCTTTCTATTGGGACAATTTGGTCATTGGGGCTTCCAAGAAACATTTACCCTTGACAGGGAAGGCAACCGGGGATCTAGTGGCATTTTGTAAAGTAAGCATTCAATAAGACAGATCTGCTGGAGTCTTTTGCTCACAGAATTGGTATAAAAAATGAAAACAAAAGCGACAATCTCAGTTTAGAAAGATAACTCATTGGTTGTGCAGGAAGTTTTGGAGAAGGAAAGGGATTTTCTAAAACTGCCATTCTTTTGGCCCCAAAGGCCCTTTTGCTCACGTGGTTCATTGGGACTGCCAATGGATGAAGAGCGCAGTTTAGACTCTGGCATGGCCTTACTGGCGCCTAAAGACACAGGCGGCAAGACGCACTGGGACCAGCCTTTATCAACTGATTGGCCCAGACCTCTGGAGGCAGGCACACCACCACCCCGCAGTGGGCCAATCATTTAGATAAGGCTATTGTCTAGCAAGCCATTGCCTACATCT